AAAGTAAGGAAACAGGCTCAGAAAGTATATGCAATTGCCCAAAGTCCTATAGCTAATAAGAGGCAGAGCCAAGACTGAATATGGGTTTTTTGGCTCTAAAATATGTGCTCTTTCCACATAAACCCAGCTCATTCAAAATAGCCAGTAGTACTCCACTTATCCCCATTCATACCCCCACTTATACCAGACTCTAATCTGGTAACTTTGATGCTCAGGAACACTGTCCTTAACTCCAAAATGAACGAACCTCAGACAAGCTCTCTCAAAGTCTCTGCTGTGGAGCCAATCCCTTTATCCTGAGGTTTTTCCCTCTTGTCCAGTAAGTAATAATTAGACCCAATGGACTTCCCTGACCCTAAGAGATTAGAAAATACAGAATCTGAATGGGTGGTAGTGGGGGCAGGAAGGACCTTTGAGAAACAAGCTGTGCTGTTCCCATTGTTTTTACTCAAACACAGATCTTTGTTCTACGATGCAAATTTTGAGAAGTTGGTGCCAATCTGCTCTGAACAAAAGAATCTTAGTCTGAACAAACAAAATTTGCGATGAGAAGTCTGGCTTTCCTAGTTGCGCTTTTGAGCATCTGCCTCTACCACCACTCCCCACGTTGGACCTCTCCCAAAGGTAGTGGCAAACTTTGAGGAAAACTTCCAGGGTTGCTTATCACCTATAGAAGTTAAAGAAAGGCTAGGGTATCATATGTCAACGTTACTAAAATAAAGATCATTATAAGGTTTTGGAGATTGAACCAACAGACAACGTTGTCGTTGTGTGCCATCGAGTCAGTTCCGACTCGTAGTGACACTATAGGACAGAGTAGAACTACCTCATAGGGTTTCCTAGGCTGTAATCTTGACAGGAGCAGATTGCCAGGTCTTTTCTTCAGTGGAGCAGCTGGTGGGTTTGAACTGCTGACCTTTCTGTCAGCAGCTGAGTGCTTTAACCACTACACCAGCAGGGCTCCTTCAACAGACCATAAGGGCCCTCAAAAATTCAAAGACCTTAAGCATTCTGTGAAAGGGGGCAGCCTTGGTCTCAACAGTTTTTCTCAAAGACCTGACCCTGTACCTCTCCTGAATGAAATTTTCCACTGGCTTTTTTGTCTGTAATACTATATTAATGACACTCTTTTAAATATATATTTATTAAGCAAACAACTGTTTAACAAAAGTGCACTTTTTCCATGTTCTCTTCTATTCAGCCATATACCAAAAAAATAAATAAAATAATCATATTTTTATTCTGCCACCCTACATCAAATGTCATAAGCATTTGTGCAGGCTGATATATGTAGATTTTCTAATCATTTTAATAGTTTGGAGATTACGCTCAAATCTGAAAGTCCATTCTTTAGCCATCAAACTGCTTTGTTTAGCTCTGATACATGTGTAGATTCTAATCTTCTTGAAAACTCGATCATCATTACACTAAAATTCCAGCAAAATGTGAAGGCCTGTGAAATATGGGGGGCAGGGGAGGGAGGTAAAGAGCTAGGAGAGGGGCCACAGCTCTCACCCACACTCACTCTCATTCTCTCTCTCTCTATATATATATATGTATGTATGTATGTATATATGTGTCCTCTATCATTTTGCCCCTCGGAGCGTGATCTGTACAGCAGCACAGGCACCCCTTGGAAATGTTTGAGAAATGCCAAATCCCAGGCCCCATCCTAGACCTACCAACTCAAAACCTGCATTTTAACAAGACCCCCAGGTGATTCGTAGGCACAGCACATTAAAATTTAGCACTGATCTAAAGTACTAATGGAGCCCTGGTGGTGCAGTCATTAAGAGATTGGCTGCTAATAAAAGGGTCGTCAGTTCAAATCCACCTGCCACTCCTTGGAAACCGTATGGGGCAGTTCTACTCTGTCCTATAAGGTTGCTGTGAGTCAGAATCAACTTGACAGCAACGGGTTTTGTTTAATGGGTTTAAAATACTAACAGAGATAAAGAACGTTATTTAATATGATTTCTGATTATACAAGTAATCAACATTCATTGTAGAAAATTTGGAAAGCGCCTCCTCACCCCATTCCCATCCTTGAGAGAGGAGGAAGATGCTTGGATGGGAATATCGTCAGCTTCTTGCGTATGGTGATTACAAAGCCTCTCCCAGCTTTGGGTAGTTAAGAGAGCAGCCATATTCAGCCCAATATGACTCGCCTGGGGTGGGGTGGGTATCAAAGTGGAAAGGAAGATGAAAAGAGTTACTAATACTACTCTAGGAGCCAGGGTGGTACAAGCAGTTTGAGATTGGCTCTTAACCTAAAGGTTGGCTGTTGAACGCACTCAGCAGCTCCGTGGAAAAAAGTCCTGAAATCTCCTTCTTAAAGATTACAGCCAAGAAAACTCTATGGAATAGTTCTACTCTGTAACACATGGGGTCACCATGAGTCGATGGCAACCAACAACAATTCTACTCTGAATAACATGGTGGGCAGCAGCAACTTTGTAAACCGTGAGACAGGTAGGAAACCATCTCTCTTCTTCCCCATGACTTTCATCTGTACTGACTCTAAGAACTGGGAGGGAAGTGTTCAGCAGGAGTCTTCTGGGTGCTATCCAGACCAGATAACTCAGACCGGAACCCAGTCCTGCTGAGGAGAAAAAGCAAGTGACTCTGGACAAGAGAACAAGCCCCCGGCGTGGAGTTCCCACAAGATGGCGGAGATTTGAAAGGCGGTGGTTAAAGGACAGTGGTTCCCTTCGAGCGATGAGAACTAGGAATAGCAAGGTCAGGAAATGGGGTCTGCTTAACTTCCTTTGGAGATGGGAAAAGCAGATTGTGTGCAGACACTTTAAATTGTTTCATTTCCTGGGGAAGCCTGTAAGAAGAGTGAGTCTGTCCCACGCTCGGGTCTCTCCGGTCCCCTTCAATCCTCCAAGGCTAAGTAGTAGCCCAATTAACCTGAGCTCAAATTATATACACATTGGTCATGGTACTTTATTCAATTAATGTTATAATGTTAAAATTTTCCCAGATGATTAAAAATTTTTTGAAAACATCGTTTTGAAAGACAGTATCATTTCCCATCATATGGTGAATCATATTTTATTTAAATATTTCCCTTTTTTTGGACTGTTTGATTATTTCTGTTTTTCACTATTATACATGATGCCGCAATAAAAATCTTTATTCATGCATCTTTGCTAATATACACAATTACTATTGTATGTGGATGAACTTTTTATCAAAGCATACCATGTGTATAGAAAAGTGTACAAAATAAAAGTGTACTGTGAACACCCCACGGGACCACCACTCAGATCCAGAAACAGAATACTACCAGAATCCAGCCTCCCTCATCTGCAATTTCAGTCACTACACCTCCCCCAGGATAACACTATCCTAACTGTTAACACCAGTAGATTGGATTTTGTATACAAGTTTTACAGAAAGAAGAATCTGTGCAATTTTGCACGTGGTTTCTTACGCTCAGCATTATGTTTGTGAGATTCGTCCATGTTTTTACTTATAACAGTAGTTCATTCTTTTGTATTACTGTATAAATATATACAACTTTTCTTTTGTATTTTGTTCCGCATTTCTAGTGGTTCTTGGCAGGAGCATTAGGTTGCTACAAGCTACTCCATCCTAACCAGAAGTAAAAGTCCATTTATTTCTGTTGTGAAACTCTTAGAAGTAGAATTTCTGGGTAAAAAGAAACAACAAACTTTTTTTAGGCCATTGGTGCATATTGCTCATTGTTTTCCATAAAAATCTGTGACAATTCACACACAAGAAAAAAAATAACATGAAATTCTCCTGAGGTGTGGCTGTCAGGAGTCATCCTAATTATAATAAAAATTAAATAATCCTAATAATAGTATTTTATAGTACAAACATTGTAATTGCCTAATATATAAATTATAAATATTGAAAAGCTGGTATCACATTTTTTAAAGTCCTTTGTGATCATTTATTAAATTCTCATAAAACTCTGAGAGCTAAGTTTTATTACTGCTCCATTTTAAAGATGAGGAAACTGTGGCTCAGAAAAACCAAAGTGACCTGACTAAGCCACGTGGCTAATGAATAGCAGAGTGTGGTCTTGAGCTCAGACTCTCTTCCTCCACAGATAATCCTCCTGACCCACACCAGGCTACCCCTTGCCTAAAGTGCTGAAGGTGTATATCCCAGACATTGCAAGACAAAACTGGGTGCTAGGGAGAGGGCCATGCCATCCTTTGGTATGGAAATGTGCATCTTTCAAAGCCCAGTTCAAATTCTACCCTCTCCCCAAGTAACCCTCCACACCCCAATCCACCCAAGTGGAAGTAATACCACTCCCTTCAGGGCTCTTGCCAGCAGGATCCTAGAATATCATTGCTGAGATCATTTAGTCCAGAGATTGCAAATGGGGGACACACACAACGCCACTCTCCCTTCCCATGGCAATGGCAGACATAACTAATCAATCAGCATCTAGTCACTGTCTATCTAAGTCCATCTCTACCTCCCCTCCCACACTGGCCTCCCCTGGCCTCCTGTTTCTTGAACTTGCCAAGTGCCGCCCTGCCTTGCAGCCTACACATTTGCTGTCGGGGATTATCTGCAGCCAGGTTTTATGGCAGATCTTTCTGTCATTCAAGTCTCAGCTCTAATATCACCTCCTCAGGGAGCTCTTTGCTGACCTCCCAATCTAAAGTAGCATCCTCTTCCCTAATTGACCTTATATCATCATCTTTTAAATTTAATTTGTTTATTCGTCTGTTCTTGTTATTATTGCTGTTGTTTCTTCCCACTGTTTCTTGAGAACAGGGGCCTCTTCTGATTTGTTCACCTCTCCCCAGTGCCCAGGGGAGGCCTTAGTACATACTAGGTGCCCAGTTCATAGTTACTGAAGGAGTCAGTTAATCAAGATACGTTTTTCTGCTGAGCCCAGGTGTGGCATTAAAATCTTTCCCATCACAGCACTATAGCCATTTGATACCAATAATCAGAACTGACACATGAGATAAAACCTTTCTGCCATGGCTAACTTCTTAAAGAGGGCATTGGTGGTTCAGTGGCAGAATTCTTGCCTCCCATGCAGGAGACCAAGGCTCGATTCCTGGCCAATGCGCATCATGCACAGCCACCACCTGTCTGCAAGTGGAGGCTTATATGTTGCTATCATGCTGAACAGGTTTCAATGGAACTTCCAGACTAAGACACACTAGGAGGAAAGGCCTGGCAAGCTACTTCCAAAAATCAGCCAATGAAAACTCTGTGGATCACGGCTGTCCAATCAGCAACCAATCATGGAATGATGCAGGACCAGGCAGTGGTTCATTCTGTTGTGCAAGGGGTCACCATGAGTCACGGGCTGACTGGACAGCAGCTAACAACTTCCTTAACCCCCATTATATAGATGGAGAAAGTGAGGCCCAGAACAAGAAATACATCTTGCCCAAAGCTACAGAATGAGTGAGGGGCAGAGCTGGGACTGGTACCAGCTCCTCCCACCCCATCTTTCTGCCCAGCCCTCCCCACCACAGGCAGATGCCAGAAAGAGCTGTCTGTCGTAAACTGTCAGCCGCGATGCAGAAGAGCAGGGCCATTGTGCTTCAGGAGCTTGTCTATGAATTACGCATATAATTACCAGCTGCCTTTTTTCCCCATTCTGTGGGTAAAAGTCTGATCACATATAAAATTCTCCCTATGTTTCCGTGGATACAAAGCGATCCTAATTTCAAACTCCCTTGCAAATGGCAAATGAGTGAACTTAATTTTAATAAAAACAGGGAAAATCATACGTGTGAGCTTAATAAAATCTAATTTGGGCAATTTGGAGCTCATAAAATAAAGCCTTTATGTAAAAACTAGCAATTAGCTTTAGGAAACAATACAGTGAACCCCTGGCATTTAGGAGGGGTGGGAGCCAGAGGGCTTCAGGGATAAGGAAATGTGGCAATAATGTGAGAAAGCTACAGAGACAGGGGAGCGTGGTTCTCAGTGTTAGAGGATTTGAGTTCAAGTCCCCAAGCGTCTTAGTTCTATGACCTCGAGCAAGTCACTTCCCCTCTCTACATCCTAGTGCCTTTATTTTTTTCATGAGGTTAATGAAACCTATTTTACCTAGTAGGATAGTTAGTTGTATGGACAAATAAGAAATTGAATAGGCAAAAGCTTTGTGAAAAGGTCCAACAACTACTTCATCTCACCTGTCCAACAGTCTTCCTAGCAAGGAGGGAGAAGGAGGATCATGGGCTGTATAACCCCAGTCAGGGAATATGGGGGGAAGTTGGAGTGGAGGGCAGGGGTGGAGGGCAGGCATGTAATCTTCCTCCTTCAAGCATCAGGGACTGATGACAGGCTTCCAGAGGCGACTCCCAAAGGTGGTTTGCAAGAACCAGCAGCAAGTCCACACATCAGACTGAGCTTAGATGAGGACCTAGGTCTCCTGATAAGCCATCGCTGTCATCCCTCACATCTGCACCACTGATAGATCCCCTACATATACAGATCTTTGCAGCAGGCCATAGTAGTCCTATTTTACAGATGAGAAAAATGAACCTCTAAGAGCTTCATCTACCACCCATCTGTCAGTTTGTCATACTGTACTGTAGTGGTTTGCTTGTTGCTATGATGCTGGAAGCTATGCTGCCAGTATTTCAAACACCAGTAGGGTCACCCATGGTGGACAGGTTTCAGTGGAGCTTCCAGACTAAGACAGACTAGGAAGAAAGGCCTGGCAATTTGCTTCCAAAAATTAGCCATTGAAAACCCTATGGATCAGAACAGAATATTGTCTGATATGGTGCTGTAAGATGAGCACGCTGATCGGGAAGCATTCAAAGTACACAATGGCAGCAACAAAGGACTTGACCATGCCAAGGATCATGAACATGGCACAGGAGCAGGAAACATTTCATTCTGTTGTACGTGGGGTCACCATGAGTCAGAGACAACTCAACGGCAACTGACAACAACAACAAGGAGGAGGTGCTGTGACTTAACTCAGGTCACATAACTATGTGCCCCAGTCAAGACTCAAGCCAGGTCTTCTAACTCCACACTCAGACTGCTCCCATCACCACCCACGGCTGCAAAGGCAACTGACTCTCAGGCTGAGGACCTGGTATCCGTTGTGTCCCTTCCTCCCCCAAGGGCATGTGCAGCTTCCATCAGAGCTACTGGAGCCCTAGTGGCACAGTGGTTAAGACTATGGCTGCTTACCAAAAGGTCGGCAGTTCACATCCACCAGCCGCTCCTTGGAAACCCTATGGGGCAGACTCAACAGCAATGGGTATCATAGCTCCTGGGTCCATATCCCCAAAGAGTGTGGTCTCCATTTCAGAGGCTCACAGCCAGCAGGGGCTTCTCCCACTCCCTCTCCCGAACAACCTCTACTCCAAGCAGAAAGCAATTTTTCCTAGTGCCTTCCCAGAAGCAAAGTGGGTAATTAATTGCACTGAATAACACATTAAATGTACTAATAATTGGGTAGTCACAGCAAAATGATTACTTTGAAGAAATATTACCAATTCCCTGTTGTACTTAACATTTCCCCTTATTTATCATTACCATTTTAATCAATAATAGTCACAATACTAATAAATCCATCTTAATTTTAATTGTGTTCAATTGGTTGTACCAGTACTTGAGTATTCTGAGCATACTTCATTATTTATATTAATTTAAGATCACTTAAAGGCAAATTACTTAGTTTGTACTTTCAAGTAGGTAGGTAATTATGACAAAGTTTCTCTAGATTCAGCATTTTCAAGTATGAGGAGTGTGAGGTGTCAGGCATCTGCCCTTTTCCATTAAGCGCAAGGGTCAGCGATAGAGGAGCTGAAGGAAGACCCAAAGCCCCTGCTTGAATTAGCATATCCTGGCCTTTTAAAAGAGGCTTGGGTCCCTGAAAGTGTGATGAATAGCTCAGTGACTTTGCCTGTACTCATGCTGTCTCATCATTAACACAGCACTCATCCATTCATTCACAAACACCATGGGGCAGACAGCATGCTAGGCACCAGAAGACAGAGAGAGAAGAGAGTGAGACAAGGTAGAAAGTATCAAGAGGCCCTTAACGGGTCTCTGATAAAGGGGGACAGCAATTAAAAGGCAGAGGAGATAAGTAACATGTATCTGAAGGAATCGGGGAGTACTTCTATAGGCAGAGGCATTTTTCTAGGTCTTGAAAGTTGGGTAAGATTTGGCGGAGAAGAGAGAAGTGGATTCCAGCCTTGGCAGAGAGGCTCCTAGCAGATCTCCAGAGGGAATGGTGGAGGTGACGGCAGAGAAGGTGCAGAGGGACTCACTGTGGCAAGGCAGATTTGACCGTCAGACGCAGCTTTGATTGGGTGATTGGGGGTTAATAATGTCACAAATGAAGAAGGGAGAGGGCAGCCAGGAGGAGGAGAAGTTTAGAAAGCAAGAAGGTGAGTTTTCTTGGGGACACGCTGAGTAGAAGGGGCCATGAAGGAACCAGGTGGAGCTGCCTTGCTGGTAAGTGGAGAAGCTGGCTGAAGTCTGAGAAGTGGTCAGCACTGGAGACAGCGGTCCAGAAGCCCTCAGGAAGAGAGTCCCAAGGGAGACAAAGGTGACAGAGAAGGGTGACAATCGAAGCCCTTGCCTCCACGGGCCTTACTTCACAGGCGTGTTCGTATGTGTCCACAGCCCCCAGGGCCCCGCCTGGGCAGCTGCTTCTGCCTTATCCACCCGGGATCTGGTAATCAGGGCATATCTTTTGAATCAAGTTGTATTGAATTAAAACTATGTGACAGCTGTGTTGTCACTGGTCCCATTTTGTGAGTCCATCCCGCTGCCTAAGGGGATAGGTACAGGGGCATGTGACCCAGAGCAGTGGTCCTGGGAACTATGGTGGGTGGGTGTCTCCTAGGCCACACTGAGAGCTGGGGTGTTGAGGTCTCAGCACCTACAATGATTTGCTAGGAGGGTTGGAACTGACGCTAACGATTTCTAGAAACCTAGAAGTTGTAGGAGAGGAATTTAATGGAAAAGAGGCTCCACCTCCTGGTAATATTCAAAACCAACATTTCTTCAGCACTTTACAGTTTATAAGCAAAGGTTAGCTTTTAAAATCTCATTTAGCTCTATATCTAGATCTGGGTGGTGGTTAACCAGGTGTAGTATGATGTAAAAAAAAAAAAAAACAATCATCGGCTTACAGTTAAAATTCAAGCACTTCATTCTACATTAGTTATACCACAGTAAAAAGGCATAAATGAACAAGTAGATAAATGAATAGCATCTCATTTAATCCTTGTAATCATCGTCAGCAGCTTTATTATGCACAAATGAAGGAATGTGAAGCTGAACGACTCATCATAGCTCCAGGGTTAGTGAATGGAACAGCTGAGAGGCCAGTATTGAATTCCTCCGCTCAGACTTGGATAACAGGGATGATAACAGCACTAATAGGTCTTGGAAGGATGGAGAAGGGAGCAATCATGGCTCAAAAGGGCCTCGTGGAGGTCTTCAGGGACGGGATATGCTAGCTCCACCTAGCCCTCCCTCTTGCTGGGACCCAGCTTTGGCTCAGGCAGATATTTTTTCTGGGTGCATATTTTTGCTTGGACAGCAACTCAGGATGGGCAAAGTCCCAGGAGTCTCGCATCCCTGGGGTCCTGTTGGTCTTTCAAATTGCCCTTGGGAGTTTGTACAAAAGGAATAATACAAAATAAAACCAGCCTGAGGCTGCCAACAGGTTGGGCGTCATACTTAGTGTTCAAAAGAAAGCAGTTAAAGCACCAGAACTTACCAGGTTCTTGGATCTCCAGTAGGGAATAGGAAGCAAGTCCTCCTCTCTGGCCTAGTGTGGGAAACAGACACTTAAAAGAAAAAAAGGCAAGAGAATGTGATGAGTAGAAGAATGTGCGAAGTGCTATGAGAATCCAGGGTAGAAAATGGCCAACTCTGCCTGGAGGAGTCCAAGGAAGGCCTCACACAAGAGGTGTGATTTAAGCTGGGCTTCTAAGTATAGATACAAGTTTGGTAGGCAGTGAAGAAGGAGGTACTTTCCAGGCAAGAGGACTAGCATAAGGTAATACCCGGAGGTGAAAGTATATCAGAAGAGGTTGGGGGAGATGAGTTGAGGGTAGGCTAGAAAGGTAG